ATGTAAAGGCATATATACCCTGCAATTTGTTCTAAAGTCTAGTTATAGGGCAGAAATGTAGGAAGGTAAGGTATTTGTTAAAGGAAATAAGAAAATGCCATTCTAAAGCTGGTTGATGCTAATAAATAAGGAACTAAAATCAGTAAATATAAATTGTTTACTTAAAGTAGAAAGAAAAGAACTGCTTAAAAATCCCCACACACCTAACTTGCCTATTCTGTAAAAAAAATACTTATACTGTACTTATCTATTTTTAATCCACTTTGGTCTGGTAATCTGATCCTGCAGCTCTGGTCTCCTGTGACAGTGAGTGGGTGCTGCAGGGGAGAGGAAAGAGTGCTTGCAACGTCTGGGGAATGGGAGCTATGGGTGATGTCACGGTTCCGAGAATTCACAGGTGTTGTTGAACACTCCCTTAAGCTTGGTTCACATCTGTGCAGGTGATGCTGCTGCAGGACCTGCACAAATACCTGCAGCTGCACCGCCCACACAGGGATGCAGGACCCGTGGGGGAGGATGCTGTTAATTCTAATGGCATGCCGCCCGCACTGGAAATCACAACCATACTGGGAACCTCGGTTCCCATGCAGCTGCGATTTCCAAAGAAGTGCAGGCACTTCTTCCCTGAGTGTCCCAGGGCACGGGAGTCCATTCAAATGAATAGGCTCTCGTGTCCGCGCGCAATTACTGCCCGCCCTGCCACACATATGTGAACCAGGCCTTACACATGGGTGTCAGAACTGCAGGATCGCGCAACAGGACCGTAGTAGATTAGAAACAGGAAAATACACACATTTGTTTTCACTTTTTTATACAGGTTAGACAAGATAGCTAAGAGAAGGAGGAAGGGAACATTTATAAGAACAGTTATAGCTAGGGTTTTCTTGGCAATGGGAGAGCAGATATTGTGTAGTCCACTACCTGACCTCTCACAAATTATAAGGCTGCATGTCGAATTATACTGATTGACAGCTTCGATTTCCCTTAACTGAGATGCTGAATAGAGAAAAAGTATCTTGATGCGTGATGGGAAATATTTTTTTTTTACCCTGTTAAAGACTTGCTCATGTATAAAATGCTGAAGTGTAAAAATAATCACATACGGAAAGTCAAATACAGTATACAGGGCAGCCTTAAGAAGTTTTGGGGCCCCTTACATAGCTTTAGGTCTGCCCCCCTAGAGCATGACCACCAATTTTTCCCAGGGCCCACACACTGGCCGTCACACTGATTCCGCCTTCCTAGCCATCTTCAGCTCACCCATCTTTATTTTAACAGTCTTACAACTTAATATATGAAAATTAAAAGTGTATTCCAAGTCATCGGTGCTTTCAGTACAGTAAGGAATTGTGTTTGGTCCCAAAAAATAAGCTTGCCACCAGGACAAGGTAGACTCTTTGAGTAGGACCGTACAATAACACTAACTGCACTACCATTTCCTAGTAGATCTAAGAAAAAACAAAAATACCCAAAACAAAAAATATATATATTCAGCAAAGAGTCAGCCCAATCCAGCAAAGAGACATCCCATCCAGCAAAGAGACATCCCATCCAGCAAAGAGACATCCCCATATATCCAGCAAAGTGGCATCCCCATATATCCAGCAAAGTGACATCCCCATATGATCAGCAAAGAGACATCCCAATCCAGCAAAGAGATGGCCCAATCCAGCAGAGATATCTCTATATATTCAGCAAAAAGACATCTCAAATCAGCAAATAGACACTCCCATATAGCAAAGAGACATCCCCATCTAGCAAAGAGACACCCCAATCCATCCGAGATATCCCCATATATTCAGCAAAGAGACATCCCAATCCAGCAAAGAGACACCTCTATATAGCAAAGAGACTCCCATCTAGCAAAGAGACACCCCAATCCAACCGAGATATCCCCATATATTCAGCAAAGAGACATCCCAATTCAGCAAAGAGACATCCCATCCAGCAAAGAGACATCCCATCCAGCAAAGAGACATCCCCATATATCCAGCAAAGTGGCATGCCCATATATCCAGCAAAGTGACATCCCCATATGATCAGCAAAGAGACATCCCAATCCAGCAAAGAGATGGCCCAATCCAGCAGAGATATCTCTATATATTCAGCAAAAAGACATCTCAAATCAGCAAATAGACACTCCCATATAGCAAAGAGACATCCCCATCTAGCAAAGAGACACCCCAATCCATCCGAGATATCCCCATATATTCAGCAAAGAGATATCCCAATCCAGCAAAGAGACACCTCTATATAGCAAAGAGACTCCCATCTAGCAAAGAGACACCCCAATCCAACCGAGATATCCCCATATATTCAGCAAAGAGACATCCCAATTCAGCAAAGAGACACCTCTATATAGCAAAGAGACTCCCATATAGCAAAGAGACAGTCCAATCTAACGAGACATCCCAATTCAACAAAGAGACGTCCCCATATAGCAAAGAGACAGCCCAATCCAGTAAAGAAACATACCATTCAGCAAAAAGACATCCCCATCTAGCAAAGAGACTCCCAATATAGCAAAGAGACATCCCAATCCAAAAAAGATAGTCACAGCACAGGCCCACATCCAGCAATCATTTATATAAAAAAAAAAAAAAAAACCCAGTGGTGATCAAATACCACCAAAAGAAAGCTTTATTTGTTTGAAAAAAATATCTACATTTTATTGGGGTACAGTGTTGCATGACCGCACAATTGCTAAAGTGGCACAATGCTGAATAGTAAAATAGCCCTGGTCATAAAGGGGGTAAAACCTTTTTGAAGTCAAGTGGTTACGATGAGTATTGCAGAAAAGGCTGATTTTTGTTTGAAGTAATAAGGTTTTTTATTTCATTTAAAAGTTTACCTCAGTGCAACAAAAGAGCATCACCATCTGCGGATGTATGCAGTTGTATGCAGATTGGGTCTATGGTATACATTTCACTGCCAGGTCTGTCCGTCGCATGGACCTGTCAGTGGGTGATTTTATACACAATCCAGTGGCTGCAGACTCCGGGATTGTGTGTAAAATGTCAGATGGAAGCAGTTGATACCAGTGCTCCCCTCTGTGCACGCATCCACTGTGCTTGCCCATCTACGAGCCCGGGGAGCACCATGGTGCTCTCCTCCAATTTTTTTTGTTACCCGGAATGCGACGTGTGTGACATCACTTCCGGGTCACCATTGCTAATTTCTTAGCTAATTTCTCAGCTAGCACAGCCGATGAGCAATGTATTGCAATGCAGTCTGCATTGCAATACATCCAGTTGATCGCAAACGAGACAGCAGGGACTTTTATAGCCTTCATGTTTCAATAAAGAGAACCTGTCACCTAAAAATCATCACATAGGGGACATTGTGTCCCCTATATGATGAAAAGTAAAAGTTAAGTAAAAGAAAATTGAAATTAAAAAAAAGTTACAAGCAAGCACATAAAAATCACCCCCAAAAAATGTTGTACCCTCTGGTCAGTATATTATAACTTCTTGCCTGTGTTGAACTAGCCATAGATAGTTTATGTGTGGGGAAAATGGAAGTCTTAGCATCCTTGTCAGTAAGGGTTTGAGTTTTTGTTCTCATTCAGCAAGAAAATTGGGATAGGAATAAGATTGATTCAATATCAGATTCAGTAGAGTAGAGAAGTAACATGAATTGGTTCAAAGGAATGTAGGCATAATGTTTCAGACACTGTGTATAGTCTATGAAGTGCTGAATGATAGTAGTCCCAAAGTTGGAGGTATTGCCAGTTAGTAAATCTGTATGGGGTTTTATTATGTGGGTAGCAAGGACAGGGAAAAGGTTCAAGCTTTTTGCCACTGCAGGATGGAGGAATTGAGTTCATGGTGGAGGGGGAGTTGTGTTGCCCATAACAGATGTTTTGGGACCCAGATAAGAAGAAATAGTAGATTGTCAGTGTAAATAATCCTATATTTTCAGCAGAGGGGGTAGGTAGAATGAGAGAGATGGAGTTTGGGAGTCCTGGTGGAGGGATCCAAAGAAGAGAGAATGGAAGGGCAGGTGACAAGTGACAGGTGACAAACGATTCTTCAGGGTGCTGCTTAGGTACAATGAATATTTCTAGATGTTCTCTAAAATATAGCAAATCTCTACATTTTGACTTCAGATGAACCTAAATGTTTATTAAGGTGGGGATGGGGTTAGAACCCCACTTCACCCGTCTCCAGGTTCTGGAGATAAAAAAAAATGGCAATGGGCCATCTGCTTCTTTCTATAAATACAAGATTGCTGCCATATCCATCTGAAGCTCAGCAATGATAATATCACATTGGTATATTACCAGGAACAGCAAATATAGCATTCCATAAAGGTTTGATAGAAGTCTGACTTTGTTGCTAGAATCTCTTTTTCTAACAGACAGAACTGCTTTGCTTTATGTCCTTTGTGTTAATGGCATCACACCCCACAGTGAAGGCCAAGGTATAGGTGGAACAGACATATGGTGTAACGTGAACAAACTGCAGTTCTGGCATTGACATCCTCCCAAGTTGGATGGCATTGAGAGTCCAAAAAAAAAAAAAAGAGAAGCTTATAGTTTTTACAGTCAAATTGGGATTATTATAAGCAGCAGAACAAAACTAATATGATGAGTATAAAGCAATCATGCTCAACTGATGGTTCTTCAAAGTCTCCAGCATAGCTTTCCTGACCTTGAGGTGTGAAAATTAGATGTATTATATATTGTCTTGTGCATTTTTAGGAAAGTTCACTAATTGGTGAAATGAAAATTATATTTTTAGAACCTTCTATAGTTTGTAAATGTATATGTACATAAGATATTTGTTCATTCAATAAGCAGGCTCTACTTCCTGCTAAGACGTGCTGCACAGTGGTTACTCCCTCTCAATGTAAGTCTCCCAGACAGGTCTGTTTAACTGGAGTTGATGATCTTTTGATATACCTTTATTTAATGGTACCTGTCATCCTAAAACACTGCCACTGTAAACTGGCCACACAGCAGGCAAACCTAACTGGAAAATAGGGAGGTATGAGGGCAGGGGCGGAGTGACCATTTGGAAACTTGGGCACTGCTCGAAGGCCTTGGGTCAGTAGGGGGCCTCATGAGATGCCCCTGGTACCTTTTTTATAGGCTTTTTTGAGTTTGGGCAAGGACACAGGGACCCCATGATCCCCTATTGCCCGGGGGCCCCATGAGTTGTCAGTCTGCCCCTGTATGAGGGTTATCCAGAGTATGATTATGTAAGCTCTGCTTTATTGTTACATGATAAACTGAAATAAAATGGAGGTGTTGCTGGAGGTGCTTTTACACTGTTCAGCAACCATTTAACAATGCTTAAAGTGTATGTCAAACCAAAAACTTTTTTCTAGCTTTGGAAAGAGTGCCAAAAGATTAGAACTCCTGTTAGGTTTTTACTGCTTCGGGGATGAATTTACCCTCACTTCCTGTCCCACTGACAATAGTTTTACATGTCCGGCCATTCATTCGTGTTCTGTGAATGAATGAACTACAAGTGCAGACAGCCTTTGTGGCTGTCAGCTTGTAGTTTTCAGTGAACTACCACAGTGGTAGTTAATTGAGTCTTCCTGTCTGTATATCTGCTTGCCCGTGCATCCCGTACAGGCAAGCTTATATACTGACAGCTCTGCAGGAGACCTGCACAGCCTGCTGATTGCTAGTGCAATGCTTTACAGGCTCCAGAAACAAAAAATAATAAATGCACATTTTTTTACCTGCATTTTTTTTTAAACTTGCAGGTTTTTTTGTGGCGGCTTGGTACCGCTTTGAACATAAAAGCACATACAAAGTGGGAGAGGGCAAAATGTATTAGGACAATAACAGTAGAATAAGGGACCATGACATCAGCAAAAATAAAGCCACAATTTCATCAAATAACATTAAGTCCAAGCCATTACCAGCAGTATTAAAACATCCCTAAAAAGCAAGGATGATTCACGTCTTCCTAATGGTACAACACAAGGGGGAGATTTACTAAAACCAGTGCACATAGAATCTGGTGCAACTGTGCATAGTAACCAGGCAGCTTCTAATTTCAGCTTTTCAATCAAGCATTGCCAATAAAACCTAAAAGTGACTGACTTCCACACGCAACTGCACCAGATTCTGTGTGCACCAGTTTTAGTAAATCTCCCCCAATGCGTCTGTCATCTCTAACTCACCAGATGTCATGACAGCATAAAGAGAGAAAGGGAGAGACCAGGAGAGAAAAAAAAATAAAGAGGAAGGTTGCCAGTTGGATGCTGGACCACACTTCCTGACAATCGGCTTCAAGGACAAAATGTAAAAGTCAGAGGGTAGACTGAAGAGGTTCAGCGTTGGAAATGACGACCCAAACACTCCAGGTTTCCACGAATTTGGAATATCATTCCCGTGACTAGGCATCCAGAACTACAATGCAGCTGGTGGAGGAAGTGAAGAAAAATTGGGATTGCCTTGATCCCCTGAGATAGCGTTCCGATTGGCTATTTGGCTATGCTGATTCCAGGTGACCCTGGTTCCATCTTGGGTCACACAGAGTCTTTTTAAGTCCCTGCCCCTCCCCCGGGTTTTGGTGTGCTATTGGTGAGTGGCTAGTGTAGGGACAAGATACCAATCTGTCAGGGACAGCACTAGAGGTAGGGAGTGGTTCAAAAGAAGTAGGGCCTATATCTGCAACCAAGCATGTTCCCTTTTGGGTTGGACCGGCCAGGCTCCACTCCACACTCCTTGACAGGCACTGTCTGCCGCTTGGGCCTACTCACCACTGACTGTCCACTCTAACTGGTGTAAGTTCCTTGGTCAGGTATACGTTCTAGGCTATTGTACTGTTTTACAATTTGTGAAACATGTAGAGCTGCTGTTTATTCCTCCATTCTCATTATGTGATAAGATTCAGATGCCCACTCCTTAGGAGGTAGACCTTTTATTCATCTGCCTATCCTCGGCCAGGATAGATCACTGATGAAATTGATGGAAGCTATAGTACAGCTGTTTATAAATGCAAGAGGTGGGCAGAGAGGGCAGGCACAGTATATAATTATAGATGCGGGGTGTTGGGTGCTGGAGGAAATTGGAGTAGAGGACTTGGTATTACAATTAAGAGAGCATCCAGCAGCACAAGGGACACTTTGCATTGCCTGTAAGTACCACCCCTTGCACATTTCGTTTTGTTTATTTTAACTAAACTTAGGCTTTAGCCTAACTAAGCTGTTGTTAATCAGAAAGGATACCTTATCCTGCCTGATATACAGACAGCCACTAGAGACAAATCGGTGTATATAACATAAAATAATAGAAATCTGGTACAGCCAGCAAGGAAAAAGATAAATCAGTCACATGAAAAATTACTTAAGGGTGAATATTTCAATGGATTTTCTTTGTTTCTAATGTTAAAAACTGTACTTGCGTTACATCACTTCTTCTGTTTCAAAGCAAATTAACATTGTCTGGAGCCTTTTGGAGAAGCCAGGGTCACATAGGTAACAGGCCACCCAGCATTGCTCTCAAAGGGTATCTCGGCTACTTTGAAGTGCTCACACGCCTAGATCCCAAACTTTTCCACAATGATAGAATAAAATTCTGTTAATGCAAGAGGAAGCTGTATTTTATAGGAGCTTTCAGTTTCAGCATGGAAGTGTGAAACCTCTTTGTGATTAATGAGTATAATAAAACTGTAATGAGCAAAATGAATGCCCCTATACATTTATAATAGCAAACAGCGCACAGGAGCAGAGTTTGTAAAAACATTAAACACACTGGGACTGGAAAGTTGGATGCATTTGCATGAATGTCTGAAAAAATAAAAAATACTTTACATTGCCCGTAAAAAGGATCTGGGCAGAGATTTACTGCTTAGTAGACAGCATATTCTATGCCTTATGTCCCACCTATTTTCAGTTTCCTGCCACCAATCTACTTTATGTATCTAAAAGCTAAGAACAAGTATTAAAAATAAGAGGTTCTGTCACGACTCTAGCAGTAACTCTACAGGTCCACAGTTTGGGGTTTCCCCAGGGCACAGGGTCTAAGCCCAGTCTGCTTGTTCACCAGAGCCCCTGATGGTGGGGATGGACTTGGAGCAGGCTGAGAACAGGTCGTGGCCCCCAGGTATGCCCAGCTGCGGTAGAGGAGACCGCTAGTGTCAGGTACTTTAGTAGTGAGCCTGACGTGAAGAGGCAGAGCAGACCAGAGCAGGATGCGGATGGATCCGTGCAGCAGGTAGCGGAGTCAGGCGGGCCGGGTTCCATATCCAAGAAGGCAGAGCAGACCAGAGCAGCAGGCAGAGGGAAAGTTGGGTCACAGGTCAGGTTCAGCAACAGGAGGTCAGAATGATCAGGAGCAGGCAGAAGAAATATCCAGAGACAAGCCAGGGGTCAGGGCAGGAGAAGGTCACGATAGTCAGGAGCAGGCTGGGTTCAGCAACAGGAAACAACTCAGGATCAGGAATCACAGGCAGAGGAATAAGACCATACGGCAATTTGGATCCTGCAGTGGCCCGTTTAAATAGCCTGCCCGGCGCCGACAGTTGCGCCTGGGTCCCAGTGCCTGCTTGCGCCGTCATTGGTGACAGGCGCACCTGGGTCCTAGTGCCTGCCTGCCTGTATGCCTTGCCGGGATCTTGCGCAGATTCATGCGCCGCGGCGATCTCCTTGTTCCCTGACAGGTTCTATACCAGAAACAAGTGTGGATTTTTGCTTTTCAGCTCCTTAAAGGAGACTTCCACTTTTATTTAGAAATAATATTGCATATAACATTTCCACACAACCATTTTGTAATTTAATGTTATTACAAATTACCTTTTTATTTCAATCTGAAGCTGCTGTAATTTTCTAAAACTGTCCATAAAATTCAGTGCTAAAATATTGAAAAGATGGGAGCTGCCCTCTATGTTATACATTCCAATAAAAGATTTCTTTTGTAACAGCCAACGCCTTTTGGGGACTCAACATTCCCCCTTCATCAGGAACAGACTATGCAGGCACCTTGACTTAGATAGCTTGGAGGTAGGCTATCTCAGTCCAGGTGTCTGCATAATCTGGCCCTGATGAATGGGGAGTGTTGAGTCTCTAAAACACATTGGCTGTTGAAAAATAAAATCTTTTAATGGACAGTACAAACTAGTGTAACACTCCCATCTTTTCAACAGTTTAGCAAACTCCTCCGAAGGTCCATCATGACATCACGATTGCTGTTGAGCAGTGTCCACGCCCGCATACCAAATATTACATTGTAAAAAATCACCATAAAGTTCAGCACTACTATACCGCAAAACAAAAAATTCAATGCACTCTGGAAGCCTGGAGACGTTCACAACTGGTGCACAGACCACTCCAAAAATGTAATTTCTTGCTTGTGTGATAGGCTTGCTGATTTTCTCAGACGTTTGCTCTAAGACAGAAATAAAATTTTAAGTATGCAATGAGAATGTAATTTTTGGACAGATACTTAATTACTTTTAAAAGGGTGCAGATACGGCAACTTTCCTCATTAGAACAATGAAAGTGCACCCATTGGCTATAGTGAACCGTACCCTCTCATTCAGATTAAGTATTAAAGGAACATAGTGGAACAAACAGCTTTTTCTTTAGAACAGAAAATAGGTATGAGGGATAAAACATATCAGGAAAGACTTCAGGAACTTAATATGTACAATCTGGAGCAGGGTTTCTCAACCAGGGTTCCATGGAACCCTACGGTTCCTCCAGAGGTTGCTAGGGGTTCCTTGAGCAATAAGCAAATTCTGCCTCTCAGATAAGTTCCCACTGACACCATTGATCTTTTTAGCCATCTGTAAGGTGTAAATTCTTCCCAATGACCACAAGTGTAAGGAGGATTCTTACCACTGACTATCACAATGTCCAAATAGAAAATATGCACTGCTTAGGTGAGTATACTTGCTGTGGTCCCTTACAAGTGCCTGCCCCAGCTCGCCATTGTGCATACTGATGAAAAAGAAGAGTTATGGCTGCATACCACCATGGGACTTGATCCAAGCAAAAAATATTTTATTTCTCAATTGTCAAGTAGGAAGCACAAAGGACTAGCTAGCCCTTTATGCTGGCTATTTGTAAAATGAGAAATAAAATATTTTGTGCTTGGATAAAGTCCTGGCGTGGTGTATGGCCATAACTCTTCTTTTCTTCACTGACTATCACACTAATGAGTTGTAGCTATAGTAATTTTTATCACGGGTT